GCTGCCGCCCCCGCCGCCCGGCGACGCCGCCTCATTGCGTTTGCCGCCCAGTGCGGGGAAGAGCCCGCAGCTCTGCAGCCCGTAAGGCAGGTCGGTGGAGGGCGGCAGGTAGACCCCGCCGTGAGCGTAGTAACCGCCGCCGCCGCCCCCTGCGCCACCGCCACCGCCACCCGCCTCGCCTCTGCCCGAGCTGATGAGCGAGTCGACCAAAAAAGAGTTCGCGGCGGGGCTCTCCGAGCATGACATTGTTGTGGGATAATTTGGCGAAGGGAGCAGATAGCCCTTTCTGGCTGACATTTCTTGTGCAAAACATGCTGAATACGATTAGCAATCCCCCCGCACCGCGGCGGGCGCCCACAGCCAATCCCGAGCCAGAGTTTCCGCGCGACCACTCCCAGTTTGGTTTCGTAGGCGCGGGGCCGCTCTCCGAGGGCGCCCTCAGAGCCCGCGATTGATATAAATGTGTAATCTGTATTGATGGACCAGGAGACGCACGCGTGACACCTTGGCCCGAAGGCCTGGAGCTGTGGGGGCTGCTCCACAGTGGCTGGTGGGGGCCTGGACCTTGGGCCCGCCCCGCCCCTACTCTGAGCTGAGCCCTGTGCGGGGGTCTGTTGGAAGCGCCCTTGGGCCCCTCGCCCGTTAACAAGTGGGGTGTTTATGGTGCGCACCCCAGCCTGCATTGGAGCGCTCCATCCCTGTTGCGGAAGTGGTCTTCATCCTGGCTCTCCCTGGCCGCTTAAGGGAGCACTGTCGGGGTCTCCCGTTCTTCTGATTCAGCTCTGGATCTGGACCTCTAAAATCTGGCTCCCCAAAGTGGCAAACCTGGTCCTAAAGCTAGGAGGACCCAAGGAGTTTCCCTAACCCAAAAGGAACTGGTAGCTAGGTATTGCCATACTTGCACATTTTCACACAAAATACTCTCCAAAATGTAGCAGCTTATTCCTGGCCCTTCGGAGCCCAACACTTCCCTACTTCACTGTGGTCCGATCAGGTTTTCTCCTCCAGTTTACTCACCTGCCTCACCTCTCTCTATGCCTCCTGTCCAGGAACCTTGGTGGGTGGGCATGGTAGGGAAGGTAAGAGTCCGGGCAACCGTGTATGAAAGCCTTCCTCACCTTAAACTGGAATCCAGAGCCAGGTTCAGATGTTACTCCCCCAAAAACACACACACACACACACACACACACACACACACACACACACATTATCCTTAAGACCCCCCCAAGCTCTCAAGTCCTTTAAGAGAAGTGAAACATTGGCCCTAGGGTGAGTGGCCTCCCGGATAGGGAGACCTGCAGGGGAAAACTTGGAGGAAGGCACCCAGCAGGCACCTCTGCTCCCCCTTGTCCTTTGAGCACTGTTCCCCCCTTGTCTTTTTAGCCTGGCCATCCCTATGTTCCCAAAGGGTATGAAAGATCCAGTGTCATACACTCCTGTCTTGCTGTCCCCACCCCTTTCCCCCTCCTTCCATATCCTCTGCTGAGGCAGTCCTTGCTTGCAGGGTGTGTGCATTTTAACAAGGCCCAAGTGAGGAAATCCATTCCCTGGGAAGCTGAGCTAGGCTTGTGGTCCTCTTGTAAGAGCGATCAGAAGCCAGTTCTTTTGCTCAGCAGACACCAGGTCCTTTTCTTAGCTAACTGGAAATGGCCAGCCTGGGGCGCTAGCCCCTAAGTATGGGCCTCCTCATACAAGGCTCAGGAAATTTGACCTTTTCCGGCAGGATCTAGTGGAGCCCTGGAGGTCGCTGTCTTGCCCCTGACTCGTGGGCTATGGATCTCCAGAATGTCCCAGGCCTGTCTGTCTAGCAAGCTCTGGTTGAAGCTGGAGCTGCTGACCACAGATCCCAGAAAGGAGACCGCTCAGACCTCTGCCTGTGGCTGGGAAAGACTCTTACATCCGGGTGGTTGTGTTCTGGTTCCTCCCAGACTGAACCCAACCAGAGGAGGAAGCCATCCTGAGAGGACGCTGAGAGCACAGGACACAGCAGTCCAGGTGGAGCGCTGGCTGTCTGGCTTCTGACATTCAAGCAGTTGCGGTTGAGGCTGCTTGGCAGGCGGGCTCAGCGCCCAGGAGGCCAAGCCCTCCCTAGCTCAGTGCTTTGGTCACTTCATCCAGGAGCCTGGTGACTGGGCTGTGCAGACAGGATATCAGAATGCAAAAGGGATAGAGTGGGAAAGAATGAGGGACAGAAGGAGAGAAATACAGAGGGGGAAGAGAGAGGAGAGGAGAAAGAAAGGGAGAGTAGAAGAGACCCAGCTCTGTCCAACCTCAGAGAGTCCTCAAGTTAAAGCGGCAGCTTAGAGGAATAGACCCGGTCTGTACGGAGACCTTCTTAACTCTGTGGCTCCCTGAGGCTAAGGCTAAGGCACACTCTCACATGCTAGTCCTACGCAGCCAAGGAAATGGAGCACGGAAAAGCTTCAGAGTGTTGCTGCATAGGGCCATGCCTTTTGCATCAGGGATCTGCCTGGACTCTCTTCTGCTCACCAGAGAATGGAACTGGCTGGGACTGTTGTGTTCAACAGTGCCATCTGGAAATGCCACAAAGCTGAAGACAGTCTGAGAAAGGCGCTGTGCTCCTCGGCCCTGCCCAGACCTCTCAGAAAAGGTCTGCTCAGTGGGGAAGTATGTCTTAAGAGAGTGGGAAGTGGGTTCCTTGAGGGAAAGAAGCCCCATCAGACCAGTGGACCAGCATTAGGGTCTATAGCCTTGCCTGTTGGGAACACAGAAAGCAATTTTCCAGGCTGAAGTTTGGGAAGGGCCCACAGCCGCTGGAAAGTATGAGATGGTGAAAGCTACAAAAATAAAATGAAAGACAATGATGTAAACTTGTCTTTCTTAACCTTTTAGAGTACTGGGGACCCTTTTGGAAAATCTAAGGCCAGTTCTGACTTATTCTGTGAAAAATGCATATCTGGGCATTCCCACAATTCAACCCATCATTTTCCAGGAGTTCACACACCCTCCAAAGCCTTCTCCTTGAACTCTTCAGAACATCCAGGACTCTCCTGGGACTCAAGAACTCTGCCAATTTGGCTAATAAGACAAGCCGGGTGCCCTCATGCAGGCAGCCTCGGGCCCATCCTGGCCAGGGCCTTGTAGGACAGCCAAATGGACTTCTCGGCTGGCTAGGATCCAGGAGACTGCACGTGCCATCCAAGGTTACAAGAGTCAGCTTGGTACAAAAGGCCATCCCTGCTAAAGAGCACAGGAGCTGGAAGGCCTGATACCAGCGTCACAGACCGTGGCATTGGCACTTGGGTCTTCTCTGACTTTTGTAGAGGGCCAGATGTGTTTTTCCACCATGACTCTCCTGTTCCTCACAATAAAGCAAAAAGAATGTTGAATTTGAGCTCTTTCTTGCTTTTTAAAAAAATGTGTGCACTTCTCTGGCTCAAGATCACTGTCCCACTCCCCGCAGGACTTGCTGAGAGCCTGCAGTGTGCTCAGGCAGGACTGGCCAGCCGCTGCTTCCAACTAGAGCCCACGAAGCAGCAGAAGCTCAAGTTAAACAGCCTCCTCAGCTGTCTCAGTCGGGCTGGAGCCTCCAGCATCCCCAACTGGCCCCAAGGCTCCTGCGCCTGCCTAGACTATAAAAAAGAGGTGTTAGCCTCCTCAATAAAATAGTCCATTTATTGATCGCCTTGGCTTTCCCAAGGTTCCCCAGCCCAGAGACATTAACAAAAGCAATTCAACTGCAGTGTGGGTAGGCTTCTGTCCACTCTCTCTGCTCTTGCCCTTTTGCCTTCTTTCCCTTTCACCCTTCCTTCCAGCTGCTAAATTCTTCTCTCTCTCTCTCCCTCCCTGCCTTCCTTCCTCTCTCTGTCTCTCTCTCTCTGAATACCTTTCACCCTAAACCCTCAGTGCCTGCTGGCCTCAACCAGGCTTGTGCAGCGAGTATGCTGCAGACAGAGCCTATGTTTCATTTGGGAGGAAATACTGCCTGTTTCTACTTGGTTTTGATAATACCCAGTCCCTCCACGGAGCTGAAGTAAATGCCAGGCCTATAGAACAAGCAAGCCCTGTGGGGAATATTAGTCTGCAGTTCACTAGAAGCAAATTTCTCTTTCAGTAGGCCCTTACAAATGATGAGAAATAAACTGTTACAGTGGGAAATAAGATGTGTTTTTGAAAAGAAAAAACAAAAGAACTAGGTTCCGAGATTGAGAGAGCCGGTAAGCAATATATACCGGAGGTCATTCTCAAAGCTTTCCGGGCTCCAAATTATCCAGCAGACTGTGGGGTTGGGCTGTGGCCCCATACAGGAAAAATTAAGGCTGCTTCCTCATATCCGGCATTAACAAAAATTCAGGGCTTTCCTGATTTAGGAATTTACACATAACTAGAAAGATTTTCCGTAAGTTATGATGTTCTTTTCCTGTTCATCTTTGAGAAAGTCAACCGCTCCAGGGATAGTTGATGTGTCTGCTTATAACCGATCAGGTGCAATCTATTCTTAACCAAGCTTTTAAATTTTTTCTGAATCCAATAATTGAGCTAACCCTGCTCCCCTTGGGGGAGGAGGGAGTGTTGGGCTTTTTCACACACCCTTTGAATTGTAAAATTCTTCATTTTGTCCATAATAAACAGCCTCTGGCCTTGAAGCCAGAGGCAACTCTGGGACTGTAGGTAGCAGCTCTCGGGGTGGGCACTCATTCCTTCTCACGGCTGCCTTTCACTGGCATAGCTCGGGAGTCCAAGCTCCACAAAGATTAGTGATACTTATAAGCAAAATTTACACGTGTGTACACACAGCGGCAGTACCTACTTTCCTTGGGATTCCCTTTACTCATGTACTGTATATTTGGGAAAAGAAAAAAACTAACTCAAGAAACTAATGAAGAGATATTCAAATTAAAAAACATGGGAGAACAAATTTTAATCTGGCTTCCAAACTGTAAGCATTTTGATCATTTAAAACTTAAAAAAAAAAAATTACAACCCTGAAGAAATGACGGCTTGATCAGACTTCTTCCCTCAGCTTGCTTTTTGAAAACGCAAAGATAGGAACCCAAGGCAATTTTGTGTGTCTACAAAATATGCAAAAGATGTCACTTTCAGATCTAGAAAATCGCTGCAAAATCCCAGCCAGGTTTACAGCGGCACATTCCAAATACGTAATACAGAGACTTCTCAGGCAGCCTCGAAAATCAAATGTGACTTCTCGAGGAACTGGCCTTTTTTGGGAACAAAGGTTTCTCCTAGGCTGCTGGCAGACCTAGCGACGCACCTAGCAGGAAACCGGCGAGCTCCCGCTGCCTGCCACAGGGAATAAGCCCGCTAGCTCGGAGGGCCACGCGTGCGGACCACCCCATTGTTTTGAGTGCAAACTTTCTTTTTTCTTCCCGTCTTGCCACTTCTGTCTTACCCTCAAGCTCTCCTACTACCTCCCACCCCAGCACAGCTGGAACGCTGTCGCATGGGTGCCTCCCACCCCCAGATCGTTCTGTTTTGAGTATTTCCACACAATTGAACGGTCGCCTTGAGTGAAACGCCGGCGTGAGGAGCTAAAATACCCAACTTTCGCCCCAGGCCTTCCTCCGCTTTCCGACCATAGGGAAAGATGCGGGCGGGGGGGGGGAGGCTTCTACCGCGTCACTCCACCAGCCCAGCCACGTCCCCGACCCCTGCTTGGACATCGGCGCCCCCCACCCCTGCCACAGTGAAATTGCTAAACTTGTGGCTTCTTACCTTGACACATGTCCGAAATCACCGCCAAGGGGCAGCTGGCTTCTCCACGCCGCGACGCTCGCGAGGCCAGAGACGGCGAGTTGCCTTAAATCACAACACGAAGTACTTCTTGAGCGTGAGCCCCCCTTTTTTTGATAGGAAGGGAAGCGGGACAAGTGAAATAATGTACCGTGCTGCTCTTAGTATCAGAAGCGAACAAAGGCCAAGAATCACGCTGGGGTTCCCGGCTCCCCGGCGGCTTTGACATTGATCGGAAGTGCGCCATCTCGTGGCGGCTGCGCGCCTAGGCCCGGCCGGAGTTCCAGCCTGCAGCCGGGAGAGGGAAGCCGGCTCCGGGTAGCGAGAGAGGGCCAGAGGGAGAGAATGTACCCAGCCCGCTGCTATTGAGATCTCATTTTTACATCTAAGAAATTGCTGCAAAACCCCAGCCGGGTTTATAGCGGCGCATTCCAAATATGCAAATTGGCCGGCCCTGGACGGGTTTACGACCACATTGTCACAGCCATCTGAGGACGGGCTTTTATAGGGCTCAGAAATCAAACCCGCGCCCGCCCGCCGCCCATCAGAGAGCAGTTCTCCTGGCTAGACTCTCTCTAGCAACTTGAGAGAGTTTGGTTAATCTTTAACCATCCCAAAGGAAGTCTTTCCCTAAACCTGGGCTTCCCTGCCCGCCCCTTCCCAGGCCCCCAGGAGGACCCTTGTCAGTCTCTGCGTGTCTGTCTATCAAACTAGACGTTTCATCTGGGGTCGTCTCGCTCCCCTTTCAGCTCGGTTTCCCCTGTCGCGCCAGTTAGACAAACACACAAACAAATAAACAGAGCAGGGGTCTGAGGCCTCTCTTCAAATGCGACCCTCTCTGTTGCTCTGGCCCTGCCTGAGCGGTTGGAGAGTGTGGGGTGGGCAACAAAAGGCTCTGTCCTTTCCGCCCTGCCCCTCAAGGTTATGGGTGATGTCCAAATTTAAGGCAGAAGTTCAAAGGCAGCAAACAAAGAGGAAACCGGCATCTTTCTTTCCCCAGAGGCAAAATGCTGCCTCAGCTGGGAGCTGAGGAGAAAGCCACTTGGAGGATCCTGAGGGTTTGCCCTGCCTTGGCAACCAGGCTAATCCCCCTTTGCTGAAGGGATCCACAGGACACCCCAGAGGGGTTCTACTTAGGCCTCCCAGGCCTGAGGTGAACAAGGGCAGCCCGGGGTCAGACTCTTTGGCTACCTCAGGCCCCAAGGGCTTCTTCAGGGCTAAGGTCAGTTAGACAGGATGAAGTCCCACATTCTAGGCCTTGAGGCAAGGCACCCTTTGGACCCCATTTTCCACAAAGGGATGGCCAACCTAAGCTTGGCTTCTACTGTAGCTAAATCCTGAGTCAGTCACTGCCTCACCCCTCAGGGGCCTGGTAACTTACCTCTTTACTAGTAAAAGGATGTGGGAAGGGGAGACATTTGGCAATAAAAGGCGGGCAAGGAGAGGAATGTCACACCAGGACTTGATACTCAAGTTTCCAATGTCTTTATTTTTCTTGTGCAGTCTCTTGTGTACTTGCTGTATAGGACGCACAAGGTGGGTAAGAACCGAGGACAGGCCACTACTCCCATGACAGGCAGAGCCACCAGACATTTCTTACCCCAGGTGGCAGAAGAGATTTAAGGAGATGGTGCCTGGTTTTCCCAAATGAGATCTCTAGGTTCTGGTGGCTTGAACTGCCTCCAAGCATCCCCCTAATTCTCTCCAAATGTGGCAAGAGATTAAAAAGACCCTTCTCAGCACTCTTCCCACCCCCTCCGACACCCCAAAGAAAATCAACTAATGGCAAAAAAAGTATTCAAACAAATTAGGTTATGGTTCCTTTATTTACAAGTCTTTCGAACACCATCCCTGTATGAAGCGTACATTCAAATATTCTTAGCAGTGAGCGATTTTAACCATGGACCACTGTAAACAGATAGAGCCTTTAAATATTTTCATCACCCCCCCACACATTGCATCTTTTTAAAATTCGCTTTGGTTCCTTCAGGGAAATATATATATATAATATAATATTTATCTTTTAAAATAATTCCAAATCACTCTCGGGCTCTTGGAAGGTCACGGAAAGCTTCCAAGCTCAGTTCTGAGTCAATGAGGGCAGAGTATGGAGCCGGAACCGGGGTTTGGGGGGACTCCAGCCCCTCATAGCCATAGCCGAGGACCCGCTGGCCAGGCCCACTGCCCGACATTGAGCAAAATCCAAGCTTCATTAAATGTGGTGGAGACTTTGCCAAACTGCTGCACTCCACAGGCATTTCCTGCAAAGATCGAGGGGCCAGCGGCCTGGGTGCAGCCTCTGGGCTTTTCAATGCCTTCCACCTCAAGGAACAGTCCTCTCTGCAACCAGGCTTTGGGCCTGGGTGGCAGGCTGGGATGAAGACCCCTGTTTGGAAGGAAGAAAATCCAGGTGGGCTGCAGGAAGTGGCTGCTAGGAGGTCAGACCTAGGTCAATGTGGTGGGTAGTCAGGAGGAGTGGAAGACATGCATGCACCTGGATAGATTTCTTTTCCCTCCAGGATCTGCAGCCTTTCCCCCACTTTACAGCCACCTCTTAGTCCAGCTGCCTTTCACACTGGCTTTAGAAAGTAGCCCCATTCTGGGCATTTAGGAATCCTCACCTTTCCTCTTGCCCCTGTCCCCAAGCTAAACTCGGCTTGGGGAGCATACAGCTTCTTGACTTAAGAGTCCTAGGGGTGGCCAGGTTTTGTGGGGAGGGTCCTGGAGGGGGGTTGGCCTCCAGAGGCCCTGGCAGGGGACCTAGTCCCCAGTGGAGACCACACCCAGCCTGATGCGACATGGGCTCCAAGAGTGAACTACCAGGCATCCCAAACCATTCATTCTAGCTGATGCACAATGCTCAGAATCCAATTATTAGAAATCTTAACCGTTGAGATCTTAACCAAGAGAGTCCCAGGCCCTCTCCTGTTTGGGCAATCTCCATGTAGCTTTCCTCTCTTGTACACCTCCTTTTTTCAAAAGTCACCATGTGCCTTGACCTTGTCAAGGGCAGAATCTGCATATTATCTCACGTGTATGAAGCCCCCCACCCAATTCCAGCCGGCTGGAGCCTTAGAGGAGCGGGTTAGCTGAGTAGTACTGTAAACGGTCTCTGTTAATTTTTTTTTCCTTCATTCTTCTATTCTGAAACCAGATTTTGACTTGACGGTCAGTGAGGTTGAGCATGCGGGACAGTTGCAGGCGCTTCTCTTTGTTGATGTAGACGCTGAAGAAGAATTCCCGCTCCAGCTCTCGGATCTGGTACTTGGTGTAAGGGCAGCGCTTTTTGCGAGTGCGTTGGCCACCTATGGAGGAGGAAAGGAAGGGGGTAAGCCAGGCGTAGGTTCTGCAATCTACCCCAGAGCCCCTAGTTGAGGGAAAAAGCTGATCACAGGGACTGGAGGCCCAGCTCAAGCCCCCTCAAGGTCTCTCCAGGCCCCTGCCCTCCTACTGCCGGCTGGGGACAAGCTGCAGCCGGAGGCTCAGCCCTAGATAAAAGTCTGCTCCTTAGACAGGCCCCCGGGGAAGGTGCTCCTGCTGCCCCCTGAGCAGAAAGGAGAGCTCCTCACAGCAACAGGCGAGTTTGCGCTGCCGAAACCGCTTTGAAAGCAGCCGAGTGGGGGTTGCTGGCTGCCTCTCACCCCGCCAGACTAAACAAACAGCGCCTGCGGACATTTCACCTTCAGCACCTGGGCTGCCTGTTCCCGAGGCAGTAAAGGCAGTCACCGGCCCCAGTCTATCCCAGTTGCGGCCACGATTTGGCTCTCGGCTCTCATTTATATCTGGGGCTGCTGCCGGGTCTTTGTCAGCCTGAGCCCTGGCCTCTCACTCCTGCCTCCCCCGGCCAGGCTCCGGCTCCCGCGAGGTGGGCGGCGGCAGCAGAATTCCCCTACTCTGGGCCTTGCTGGGAGCCACTACTACACAGCCAGGGGGCCGTTAGCTTTTAGGTACTGGTCAGGGGTACTCTTTTAGACAGAGTGGAGGGAAAGGGGGCTTCTGAAACTTCAAATAGGCTCTACTTGTTCCCCCTTTTAAAAAAACTCCCACAAGACCAAAAAAATTCGCTTTTGACAGATTTAATAACAATTGTGAATAACATGCAGTTGGACAGAAGGCGGCACGTAATTGCCACCGTGCTGGAGGAAAATGGCTTCCTTTGGACAAAAAGGCCAACTTTGGGTTAATTTGTTTCTTTTAATATATTGCTTGAGCTAAGCGGGCTACTTTATCTGTTAAACGCGCTCTTAGCTCCGTCGTTAAACAGCGATGCCTTTGAATCCCAGCCGGGGACTGAAGTCCCAGCGCAACACATGGCTTTTATAAAAATCTCCGGATTACCTTTCTATCAAAGGCTCCTGAAGCCCTTGCAGGGGGAATTTACAGGCGCCCACCTCCGGCTCCCCAGCCTGAAGCTGGCCCCGAGCGGGATCGAGCTGCCGGGTTTGGGAGCTGAGAAGGGAAAAAAAGAGAAAACGGGAGGCTTTTTTTTTTTTTTTTTTTTTTTTTTTTCCAGGCATGCTTTGGCCGGTGGGTATTTCACGGCCAATTTCAGCACTCGCCACGTGATCCCGCCTTTTATAACAAAGTTTTGTTGGGGGAAACCTAAAGGCCCTTCATAAACCTTATATGCTTATAAAACAGCATATAAAAATTTAACAGCGGTGCTGCGCTAGATTTCCAACTCCCCTTTCATAAAGCGCTGGGCGCTGCCTTTATACGTACTGGGGCCGCCGGCCTTGTCCTCAGTGTGGCCGGAAGACGACTCGGGGCTGCTGCTGCTCTCGGGGCGCCGCCGCCGCTCCTTCTCCTCGGCCGCCGCCGCCTCCCTGCAGCCGCCGCCGCCGCC